GATCATTGGTGTCGTACAAAAATAGCAAGTTGGCCTGTTCGTAATTCATCATTTGAATCATTCAGTTTGATTATAAGATAAACCGATAGAACTAACTTTTACTTATACCCTACAGGAAAATCATGATCGGCCACACGAATAGGCTCGTAAACTGACTGCAATGTTTGAAAGGTCTGACCTATAGCAGGTATCCCAAGACCTATCTTTGCCTTATCATCTTGGGAGATGACAACTGACATATCAGCAAAGACAGTTGCAAATTGTCTCGCACATTTAATAGAAGTGAGGTAATAGTAACTATCAGGATGATCGTGTGTTTCCGTTTGTAAAATTCCAGCTACCATGATCCATGCTGGATAATGGTGAACTCTTGTAGCAATAGAATTGGATTGGCGTGATAATAGATAATTATTTAATATTGTTCACGCTATATAGACATTATATTTCTTCTCAAAATTTTTACGTAAATTTTAAATAATACGAACTTTCACCACTTCTTTTCGTCATTTCTCATTAGCTGAACCGAATTTGACCGAATTGTGAATATGATCATGTAATTTCAGGTGTTTGAAAAGAAGGGATGGACAACCGAGTCTATTGTATTGTATAATCTTCTGATTTTCTGCAAGCATTTTTTGTTTTTTTTCTTTACAATTTTGAACATATTTTGCGTTTCTTTTTAATTTGACAATCTTGTCCTGATTTGATTTAATTTGAGTTCGAAAGTCTACTATTTTTGCATACATATCATGGTGAAGTTGAGAATCAGTTGTGATATTGTAGATTTGTTCAAATTCAATAAGTTTTTTTTCGGCAATCGTTATTTCACTTGCCGCTTTTTGTTGAGCTGTTGCATTAATAGGTATTTCTGGTATAGGTTTTACTGAACGAATAGCAGAAAGAGGAGAAGTTAGTTCTTTTCTGGATATAGGAGAATATCTTGGTCTCATTGTTTGTATATCATACAGATTAAATTGAGTGGTTAAGTATTTTCTGATTACATTATCGATTTCTTCTGCACCTTTGTTTTTAATTTTATTCCATTCTTGAGATGTTTCACAGCAAATATTAGCACAGTTCGAAGTACCGTTTTCTGTTCTTACCATAAGACTATATACATAAGCATTGGAAAATTCCTGATATTTATTTGTTGGCGAGTTATATATTGGCTTTTTATTAAACTTGGGACTAAATAAAAAGGTTTGTCGACTCATATTTGAAACAAAATATTAATTTTTTTTTACAAAAAGTTTTTATAGGTGTGAAATGGAAAGCTGAATATAATGCGTAATAGCCCGCAACAAGGCAGTTTTTAAGAAAATACGCAAAATAGGGGAATTATTAAGTAGATCTTATTTAAATTGAATTAATTAGCTTCAATTCGAATTTAATTAAACTAATTCGAATAAAAACTTGCGTAAAATCAAGTCTTTTGCAGCACTTTGCAATACATGAAATATAAAATTAGTATGATCGTTTAATTAAAACTGTTTTATATATTTAAAAAAACTAATATCTCAAATTATAAAAATAAGATGCTTGAATGGTTTAAATGTTATTTGGAATAAAAAAATTAAAACAAATCGATAAAAATATTTTTTTTATTATTTATGTTTCTTAATTTACTTTTAACTTACAAATCTAAAAGACAATGATCGGCAGTACGTGATCATCTTACCTGAGGGTGGGGGGGTAAACGCTTATATTAAAATTATATTAGCTAATATATGTCAGTGCCCTTATTTGAATCTGATTTTTTTTGTAATTATTATCATAAACTCAATATAATATCTTTATCATCAATAAGTTGATAGTATTTTTAATGCTTTCCATAATATGAAACTAGAAATTATTAGTGATTCAAGTAAAATTTGGCTATAGAATGAATTTATTTAGTAGTATATAGCTTTAAAATAATATAAATTATTTACATCATTTTTTCACTAGCTTTCATTTTCTTATTGCTATCATTTATCTATATAAGATGTTCATAAATAACACATTGTCTGTTATATTTAAAGACCGTTAGTATTTTTCTATTCTTAATAAAATCATCTTAAAGTTGTGTAGTTCTTTCACAAAGTATTGAAGTTTTATCTATTTTTGATAAAAATTTATGTAATGTAGGTGATACTAATAATAAAAAAAAATGGTGATAGAAATAGAAAAGAAGATGGTAATAGAAAAGAAGATGATAATGATAGAGATGGAAAAGAAAATGGTGATAGAAAAGAAGAAGATGATGGTGATAGAAATGGAAAAGAAGATAATGATAGAAAAGGAGATAATGATAGTGATGGCAATTATGATAGAAATGGTAATGAAGATAGAATAGAAGAACTTTCAGTAAATTCACTGATATAACTATTTAAAAGTGCTGAAAATTCAAACAATACAAAAGAATCATTAGCAGTTTCACTGTTATCCCAAAACTAATAATTTTATTCTCTTGAAAGCATTAACAAGTATACTAGAAGTATCAAATTTACAATAATAAGTCATTTTTGGTATTCTTTTTATTATTCTTTTATTTTTTTTTTGGATTTATTTCATATAAGAGCTGTTGCAAATAAACATGTTTATGTCTTTTCTTCTAATTCAATTTCTTTCTTTTCCTTCTTGATAAACTCTATATTTTCATTAGTCTTAATTTTTTCTTTTTATCAAATAATAGTTATCTTCACTTATTATATTTTTAAAGTCTGATGAAATTTTTTTTTGCCTGTAACATTTTAGAATATTTTTTCCATCCAAAAATCCAAAAAATATAGTTTTCTATTAACCAATAGAATTTCACATATAATTTTATTAGCTTTTTATTAGCTAATGTTAAGTCACATGTTTATCTTACTGAATACTAATCATATAAAAAGAAGGTATTATTAAATCAATATAAGTCGAAAATGAGTAATTATCTTAAAAAAAAGAGATTAGCAATTTATAATAAATTAACTTAGCATTAAAATGATGACTTCCTTTTTTGATATTATCTCTGTATCATTTTTATAACTTTTTAAAAATTAGTTATTTGATAATTAAATTTAAATATATTTTTATTGTTTACTTATAATTTTGTAAGTTCATAAATAAGAACTTATTAAAATTATTAAATGATTATCCTAATTTTTTTATTTAATAAAACTAACTTTTAATTCTATAATTTTAATTAGATAAACTTATAACATAAACCTAATACATTATTATTGCTTTCTTATATACATATATATATTAATTATATTAATTTATATTGATAATTATATTGATGTAAATAAAACTCTAGGATTATTAACATAAATTATTAACTTTTAAAAATCTAAACTTTATTATATATATTAAAGTCTATTTTTTAGTTAGTAAACTTCATATCAACTCATATAATAATATATTTTACATAATTTATGACTTATTTTATGAGAAAAAAGTATAAAATTCATTTTTATTTTAATAACCTTTTAAATTTTTTTTGTAACTTAATTTTTCATTTAAATTGTAACTATTTTTTTATAATATTTAATATAAATAAAGAAATTATATAAAAGATATTTAATATAAATTCTTATTTAATGATTAATTGAATAAATAATATATATATTATAAAATATTATTTTAAATTAAATAAATAGAAAAAATTATTTTTACTATTTTTGTATAATTTTTAAAATTAAAATATTTATATTTCTTAAACTGTAAAGTTTACAAATAAATTTATCTATTTATATATTTTAAATTCTTTTTGATTTATTTTATGAAAAATTAAAATTTAACCCTTTTTTTTTTTTAAAAATTAATTTTATAAATATATATATCATAATAACTTTTATTTTTTAATTATAAAACTAACAATTTAAATTACTTATAAACTAAAATTTGTAATTTTTAAAAAAATTTATATTAAAAAATTTTATAATTAACCTTTGACAATATTATTAATATTTACTTTTAACAATATTAATTATAATAGAATATTATAAAATTTATCATAAAGAATAGCTTTAATTATTACAATTTTTATAATTTACTAAGAAATAATATGACTTTCATTAATTCAATTAATTTGTAAACATATGAATTTTAAGAAAATATTTAAAAAATTATTAAAGTATATTAAATTTTATAATTTATAATAATTTAATAATTATATTAATACTTAAAAAAATATTTTATTTTATATAAATATATAAAAAAAAAAGATAAAAAGTAAAAAAATAAAATAGTACTATATTCTTTAAAAATAAGCATTTTTTTTTTACTATCTCTTAAACAGCAAATTTGTTTGCAAACATAAAAAAAGTATTAATTTTTTAATAAAATATAAGATATTAATTTTAATAATATAATTATTATATATAAAATATAGTTTAATATATATTTTATTAACTTTCTTAGAAAATTTAAGTTTATTAAGAAAGTTTTTTTAAATAATTTTTAAAATATTTATTATAATTTATTATCTTTATAAAATATAATAAATATTATTATACTAAGAAATTAGGTAATATTTTTCATTTAAGTTAGTAAATCAAATAATAAAAGCTTATTATAATTATAGAAAATCAGTAAATACTTTCAAATATATAAAACAAACAAAATGATTTTGATGTAATTTATATAATACAAATCTTAACAAAAACGTTCTGATTTGATTATTGACAGATACGCAGTAGTTTATCATATGAAAAAAAAAAAAATAAAAAAAAAAATGTTATTTCTTCAACATTAATAGGCATATATTGTTAAGCGGAATTATATTAACGCATACTCGGATTAAATAGGAATAAATCACATGACATAAACATAAAAACAAAACTGCGCCGATTCTCCTTACGAAGTATTTGGATAAATGTATAAATTTCATATAACCAATAAATTTGATATAAATTAAATTTTTTTTTTATTTGTACATCATTTTGTTTCTCCTTTCTAAATCAAAAAAATTTTTCTTTTCTTTTTTTTTTTTTTTTTGACTTTTGATAACTTTACTTCTTTTACTTTAATACAAAATGTCTCATCAAAATTTAAAACAAGAAAAAGGTGTAGAAATTGCATTGGCTTATTTAAGAGAAGTTAAAAATCGATGTAAAAAACCTAAAATATTTAATGAATTTTGTGAGACTATGAAATTATTTAAAAGAAAAGAAATTACTGAAAGTAATTGTCATAATGTTGTTAAAAGTCTTTTTAAAGATGATCCCGAATTATTAGAAGGGTTTTATGTTTATTTTCCTAGACAATCATTATCATCATCGACTTTTTGCATAAGCACAACACAAGAAGTTAAAGTGGATAATAAAGAAAACAATACTAATCATATGAACATTAAAAGCAAAGTTGTTTTTAACAATGAAAATGACAAAAAATTGGATTTTCGAGGTATTGAGAGGCTTTTTCGATATTTACATACATACATATATATGTAATATGAAGAATAATATAGCATTGATTTACAATTTGTACTTCACTTTGCAGAGAATGATCGTCAAAGTCATATTATTATTAGCACCGGAGAAGAGAAAATGGTGATGATCGATAAAGAATTGGAAAGTGAAAATATCTCTAACATTAATCAAGGTACTAAGGTAAGTTATATTAATATGATTAAGAATGTAATTTATCAACCTTTTTTTTTATGAAATTAAACATTTATTATAATTTATTTATCTTAGACAGAATTTATTAATGAATTTTATACAAATTTTCGTTCACCAAAGAAAGAAGCATCCGATCTTTCAACAGTTATTTCTAATTCTAGAAGTTCTTCATTCTCTCAAACATCATCACCACAAAGTTCTTTCAAAAATGTTGAGATTTTTGATGATGATGATAATAACATTACCTCATTAAAGCCATCATCACCTATAAGAAAGAAAGATACACAATTACAACAGCAAATAGCATCTTCATCTCCAGCGTCAAATTCATCGGAAACGGGTTTAAGGAGAAGCACTCGTAATCGTAAAGTTGCTTCGAAACCAGTTGATGATGCTTATGTTTTTTATAAATAATTGTGTTCTTGTAGTAAACTTAATAATTTATGCTGCGCCACTGTTGACATTAAAATTTTGGAATCTCAATGCTTTTTTATTATTATTTTAAAACGAATAAATTTATTAATGTAAACACCTTTCTCAAAACATCCAGTATTTATTATGTTCCTTTTATGGTTAAATCAATGATATTATTACAAATAAAAATTAAAAAAAAATATATAGTATATAATTTAGGAAAAAAAAAGAAAAAAACAACCGATTGGAATTATTTGATTTAAATTATTTTTCAGGAGTAGCGTTAGCCATTTTCCAATATTTATCAACAAAGAGACTTTTACTTTTTATGTTTCTGGTAAGCATACTTCCAATAACAAGCCCATTAAATATTGGTAAAAGACCAGCACCACCATTCTTTCCTACGGTAATAATCATAGCTTCTTTCACAGGCTTGTATTCTTCCAATCTTTTATTTGTTAAATAAGAAACGATATTTTTACCAACTAATTCACCATGTAGGCCAGCCCTAAAAGCTAACTTTGATTCAGGGATATTAGTAATATCTCCAATAGCAAAAATATGATCATATTCATCTAACTCTAATTGTAGAGTTGATTTAACTTTAACCAAATGAGTATTTTCGTCTATTAAATCTGCATTCAACTGTTCAATTATTGATGTATTCGGTTTTTGCCCAATTGCAACAAATTGTATATCTGATTCAACAGTTTGTCCTTTTTCCGTTGTAATCGTCATTTTTGATAGTCCATTTCCAACATTATATCTTTCAAAATCAATTCTATCTCCAAGAATTAAATTGACATTAAGATCTTTAAGTTGTGTTGCAAGTGAATCTTTTAATTTCTTTGGAAACTTTGGTGTAAGTAATTCTTCCTTCCCATGTATAAGTGTAATTTCTTTTTCCTTCCCGTAAACACTTGCAATTTCACCGGCCAATTCAATACCAACAGGTCCACCACCGACAATTAACACCCTTTGAGCTTTTTTTAAAGCTTCACGTTGTTCCAAAATTTCTTTAACATCATCATCTTTATTTTCTCCGATAAATTTAGCAGGACGAGAGTAATCACTTCCAGTAGCAATGACGGCAATTTCAAAATTAATTTTAAGTTCTTGACCATTGCTTTTTCTTACTATTAAATCATTTTTTTTGAATCTTGTTACAGTACCGTGGATTATTTTACCATCTCCATGTTTATCAAATATATGATCATATGGAATAATTATTTTTTTTTCAAATCCTTCTTCGACAATTGTTCTTAATCCTCCGATATCATGATGAAAATGAGATTTTTTTTCAATTAAAAGAATTTGGTGAGTATTACTTAACGCGCTAGAAAGTTTTTGAGCGGCTGTCAACCCCGCGTAACCACCTCCGATAATTACAATGTTTGGTTTGTTTGTTGAAGCAGACATGTTTTGTTGTAATAAAAACAAAAAAAAATTTGGAGAAATACTCCCATTTTTATACTTGTCCGAACAAATTATCTGAACAAATTATCTGATATCGGGCCGTTTATAATGTTCGAACCTATATTAATAATCAGAATAATAATCAGAAAATTATTAAGCCGGGATTTTCGTTACGTTCAAGTTGATCAAAATTATTTGAAATCAAATATGATTATATAATGCACCGGACCGGGAAACTCGGAAAAACAAAAAATATGTTACACAAAACTTATACTATAACCTATCAAACTAATAAAATGAGAAAAATTGTAGAGTCGGGTCACCCAAGTGAGTGATACTCAATTGCTCTTACCCTAACCAGCATTAACGTTAATTCCTTATATTTGATTGGCCCTACTCTACAACTTTTCGTATTACCTAACTTAGCTAATTTAATTTTTACTAATCGGTATTTTATATATACAGTAAATATAATTAGGAAACGAAAATTTAAATTTTTTTGTAAAATATATAATTGCGGTCGGTCACATTAATCGACCGCATTTTTGATTCCTATTGGTGTTTTGATTTTAATTGTTGACACAATTTTTTTTTCACTTTTCTTTTTTCTATAATTCTTACAATGGTACATCCTGTATCACTTGTAAATATGTCTTTATCCTAATAAAATATAATAAATTTAAATTAATCTGTAATAAAAAAAAACTAACATTTAATAATAACTAGGAAGCATAATTTCAGATAAGCCATAATAAATTTTTAGTGTTCAAAACATGCGTGACATGACATCAGCAAAGCAGAAGGACAGAACGACATTGCATTTGTGATTGGATTTTAATCAAATAAAAAAAAAAATTGAATTGATTTATAAAAAAAATTTTTTTTTCAATTTTAGTTGTAAACTCTGCCATTTTTCTAGTAATACCTTTTCTATAAATATCCATATACTAGGAAACGGAAACCGTTATGAGTCCAGAGCGAAAACTTTTATACCATCATATTAAATTTTACTAATTATTTTTATAAAATTAATTGGTATTAATATTATGTAATAATTATTTATTAACAATAATTAAAAAATTAATAAAATATAATTAATTGATTTCTATTATTAATGCTAAATATCTTATGGGATCCGTCAAAATCCTAAAAGTTATACCAATTACACCAATTAGACATACCTGGAATAGTAAATCTGAGACTCTTTGTTTGCGCTTGCAAATTCCAGTACGTCTTGCGTGGGCAATCACGGTATATAAAAGTCAGGGTCTCACATTACGAAGGGCTATAATAGATCTAGGTGATAAAGAGTTCAGTGCAGGTCTTTCTTTTGTGGCAGTGTCTCAAATACATGCCCTTGAAAATCTTTTATTTAAACCATTCAACTTCAATAGACTTAACGTATTAAAGACTACAAAAGATTAAAAGAAAGATTAGATAAAGAGAAATGATTGGTTTCTATAATATTAGAAAACAGAATATAATGTCAATGGCAGATTTAACAATAAAAAAAATAAAACAGAAAATATTTTCGATACAAAAATCATTATTATTATATTTAGCGCTCTAAAATACATATATTGTTTTATTTCTATAAAATCTATGAAATCTAACTAATGTTTCTAATTCTCTAATTCTTTCTATTTTTTTTTAAAAAAAAATTTTCTTTTTCTGCATTTAGCATTACTGCATTAGAGATATAATACTATAACACATGCAGATGAATATATCTTTTATTTATCATTTTTATTTTTTTTTATTATTGAATCAATTAACGTGATACATATGAACAAACAGACTTCATCACGTAATCTTATGTGTCATTAAGATTTATAAATATATATAATTCTCTATTTCATTTTAGATTAATCATCATGATTATAGATGCCTGCTGAAACCTTCTCAAAATAATTTCATTATACCCTTTTTTATATTTTTAATATAGTTTTAACAGTTTTGGCTTTCGTTATATCAAATGGATTTCGTCGTATCCTTTATTATGATTTTAATATAGTTTCGTCTAAGTTTTGACTGTTATTAAGGGGTTTCGTCCCTCATCTATAATCATGATTTTTGTACATATTTTCAAATGCAACTTAAAGAATTGAATTTAATGCTTTAGGAATAATTTGTTGTAATTAAATTCATATGTAATTGTAATAAAGTATATTATTCAATTCACAATAATATTTAGGATAAAATATACATTTATAATCATACTTTTCAATTTTCTTTTGAAGTTGAGATTTTTGTACTAATAATAAAAATTAATTTTTTTTCAATTTCAGTTTTATAATTAATTTTAGATAAATTTAACCTGATATAACTTTATTGATATTGAAGATATTAAAATTTTAATCTAAATTTTTAAAATGCAGGTTATAATTTATTTATTTTATAGATTAAATTTTCAATTTATATATAATAAAATTTTTTTTGCATTTTAAATTTGTTCTATTTTTATTATAGTAAAGTTCCTTTTATAGAGATTTTGTAATATAATATTTGATTGTCTTATGTTATACTTTAGAAATAAATTTATAATATTAATAAATATTTTTTTAGTTTAAAGTGTATTTATCTTATTAATAATCAAAATCTAAAATTATTATTATAATGATATTCTAAATAAAATATTAACTCCTTTTTTAATTTTTTATGAAAAAACTATTTGAAAACTTTTTTCTAAATGAGTTATTATATTTAGATTTTTAGAATTAATTAAATAAATATTTGTTAATAAGCTATTTCTACTTTCAGTTTGATTTTCATATTACACATTTTTTAATTAAATAATACTGATTTAATTGTCTATTAAACATATTTATAAAATTTATTCTTATTTTTTCTTATATATTTATTACAAAGATTGTAAAGATATTCTATTATTTTTATATAAAAATTTTTAAAAATAAAAAATATTAAAAAATTAAAAAATTCAAAATAAATTTTATTTGTCTTAAAAATCATTTTTATTAAAAATTTATTAGTCAATACTATTCTTATAGCTTATTTTAATATTATTTTAATAAGTTTATTAAAAAGATACTTATATTTATAAAATAATATTTGTATACTTTTTTTATAAATGATTGTAAATAATAAAATTAATTAATAGTTAATATTAACTAAAAAAAAATATTTTATAATATAAAATATAATTATATATTATTTATTATTTACTATTTATCAAAACTTATAAATACTAGCAAACTTAGATTTTTTTTTAAAATATAGTATTTTAATAAATATATTATTATATTAAATAAAGATAATAATTTTATATTATAAATTTATAATATATATATTTAATTCTTTTTGATTATTCTTCAAATATTAAATTTTTATTTTATATTATAAAATTTATTAAGTAATTTTTTTTGAATATTATAGCAAAATTAAAATTATCAGCAATTTTTATTAGTAGTATTTAAGGTTACTTATCTAAATTCATTTTAGATTTAACAAAATGTTTAAACTATAGTTTTGCTAATTTTTTACTAAGATTTTAATATAGTTTTACATATTTATAAGCTTTAATATAGTTTTACCTTTCCAGAAATTATTTTAATAAAATTTTAATATAATTTCGCTAAATTTTATTTTTTTCTATTTAAATAACTTGCAAAACCTTTAGATTTTATTCAGTAACCTTAGTAGTATTTAATTTTTTTGTAATTTTAAAACTTAAAAATAAAATTAATATTTATATTTAATTATAATATTAAAATATAATTACACTTATTATATATATATTCCTGTTATATTTTATTAAAATCTACTAATATTTCTATTTGGTTTCTAAAAAAAGGTTATATATTAATTACTAAAGTATTTAATATAAATTTTTATATATTATAAATGTATTTTTTATATTTAAATTTAAAAATTCTGATAAAGATATGAAAACAAAAGTAAGAATTGCAAGAGTTTTTTTATTAATTATTTTTTGTAAATTCTATTTATTAATATTATTATTAAAAAATAATTAATTATAAAATTAATATAATTAACATTAGATTTTCTTTATCTTATAAATTTCTATAATTTATTTAAATAAACAAAAATATTTATATTTAGTAATTATACAATAAAATAAAAAGAATTAATAAAATACAAAATTATCTAAAGAATTGTTATTTAAATTAATATTTATTTTATTTAAAACAGTATTATTAGTAGATATTTTTTATTTAAAAGATATCTTTATTATTTTTTATACATTTTTTTTTACATTACTTTTGTAATATTATATTTGACAAAATATAGAATAGTTATTTTGAATAAAACTAAAATCTCCATTTTTATTTTTATAATTACAACTCTATGATTTTTTTAACTTTTATAAATTTCATGATTTTTATAACCTTTATATTTTTATAGTGATTACAATTTTTATAACTTTATTTTATTATATATATTATAAATTTTACTGAAAATATATTAAATTAATATTAATTATAAATTAAAAAAGTTTAAAAATATGTTAAAGTTTATTATACTTTAGAAACTTACTATTATTTTTTCTGATTTTTAAAAATTTAAAATTAATATTATAATATAAATTTATTTATTATTAATTATTCTATTATTAATAATAAAATGTTTTTATAATTTTACAAAATAAATAAAATTTTGTGAATATTTAAAAATACATAAAGAAAAAGCATTAAAAAAACAAAATAATAGTTAATAATAATGAATATAAATTAATAAGAAATATTAATAAAGAAAAAAAAATTACAAAAAATTAATAAAGAAATTATCGCAAAAGAAGAAATATTATAAAATTAGTAAAATCAGTGAAATTATATATTAATTGATTTTTATTTATATTATTATTATCAAGTATTTCTACTAATTTTAAAAACTAATAGTAATTTATATATAATTAATAAAATATATAAGATTTTTATTGTACTTTTAAATAATACTATATATAATAATAAAATTTAATTAATATTAATAAAGAATATTTATTTATAATAAATAAATTTTTATAG